GATAACAGGAGAAGTTTCTCAGAAGATAAGAGACTCACTTGAATTTCCACAAACTGGACCAATTGGTTGCAACAAGTTCGACTCAGATGAAAAGATATACTATGTCGACCTTAACGCTGCATACATGAGGTTTGTCCAATATATTCCGACTGGAATTCCAAACGAAGATGGTGAGTTCCCGGGAAGGAACTATACAGTTGGAAAAGTCATACAACAACTGTATGATATTAGGAAAGCTTCAAACCCCAAACTTGCAATGAACTCAAATTGCTTATGAATTCGACATGGGGATATTCCATTAAGAAACCTCAAGAGATGAAGAGTAAACATTATGAGAAGGTCGACAACTTTGTTGAAAGGTTTTCTCCTTTTGTTTTGAAGTACGAATTCACTCAAGGTCAAAGTGGCTTAGTAACCACATTAAAACCTATTGTCGAACATTGGTCTTACCCTCAGTTCGCAAAGGCAGTCCTTGACATACAATGATTCTTCTCCGAAGTCAAATCCAAAGTCAAGGTTTACTATGAGAACATTGACGCACTCATGACGAACGAAGAAGGCTATAACAAACTCATTGAAATGGGAATGGTCGGTGAAAAGATGGGTCAATTCAAATTGGACAAAATTTTCACCGAAGTTCATGTCCTCTCCAAGCGTAAGTACTGGGGTGTTAAAGAAGATGGTGAAATAGTTAAACATTGCATGAAATAAAAAATTTTTATTCGAATTTGAATTTAAATGTGGGAATTCTTGGGAACGGGAAAGGCTTATTTACTTGAGGAACAGGTAAAGGTGGTGGAGGTGGTGGCAACCAGTCCATTTTATATTCCTTCCTAGCTAATTTCCGTTTAATTTCATGGTCGCCCTCGGAGTCTTTGAATCGGACAGGTCGAGTTACACCATTCTTGGTCTCAAACTCATATATAACCTGTTTGTCTGTATTTTCGTCGACTATGGCACGAGACACGAACATTGACCAAACGGACAAAAAGTGTCATTTCGGATGGTCAAGCAGCCAATCGCATTCGAGCACTTCGAAGAAGCCTTACGTTCCAAGGGAGAGGGTGTCTGGTGCAAGGCAGAGGTCATGAGACTCTACGAGCAGTACATCCTCAATGCCTGGGAGGACAAATCGTCCTTGAATTGGCAATTCTACCAACTCCTCTGGGACGACCTCCTACGCAACTGGGAAGATAACGAAAGAGCCCAATTCAAAGGTCGGGAGCTAATTTTCCAAATTACCATTAATAGTGCCTACTTATCCAACTAAACACTTAAATTTACTTGGGGTTTCCCCCTAAAATATTTTTTTACTCTTAGAACCACTCGAGGTTCTCCTTACGGTTGTTGAGCTTGTCACCGTCAATGTGTCTGACCTTCGTCTTCTTGCCTGGATTTGGAACCCATTGAATTGCGACAAGCTTGCCCATGGAGTGTTGTGCATGAAAAATAGCGTGACTTCACTTTTGACAAAAAGTGACACTATTTCTGATGGTTTTGTCATTTATTTGTCAGATTTATAAATGGATAATAATGCTGTAAATCAGATATTAATTAAAAATATTTAAGATTTATGTTCGAATTGAAAAGCAAAATGATATTTTTTTAATTGAAAAACGTTAATATCTGATATTTTGAAGTTTTTAATATTTGTTAGTATCTTAAATTATTGAATGCATACATTTTTTATGTTCTCAATTTTAAAAAATTGTGAAGAATTTAGTTTTTTGGAGATGGATGTTTAATATTTGTGAGTGAGAATGCAAGCAGGAGTTTGGTACTTTAAGGCTAGGTTGAGATAGATTTCCCATTATATTATCTGTGAATATTTTGCTTGAAAATTCAAGATATAAAAATATATTATCAAAAAATTTTATATTTTTAAATACAATAGGGTGGAAATATAGTACGATGAGATAGCAATGATATATTTTATAATGGGAGGTAATCTGAAGATAAGTAGCAAATTTTATGCGATTTTGATTGGGAGTTGGAGGGTGTGAGTACTATAGCATGTAATAGTATCTCACACCCTCCAATTCTTCCTATGGCGCCGAAAAATTTTTGGTGAAATGCGACGACATTTCACCAAAAAATTTTCGGCGCCATATAGAGAACTATAGTCTGCGAGGTACTGATTCTATCTATGTACCTCGCAGACCATAGTTCTCAGCCAAAATGTCAAAAATTTCGGAAATTCGAAATAATTTTTTTTGAGAAAAAATTAACCGTTTAACATAATATTTATAATATTGCTTATTCAATTAGACGGATTAAAAATTATATGTTTTCTTTTTATTTTTTCAATTCAATTATTAGCTGACTCGAATTTGTATAAGTTTTTTAAAATAGATATCAAAAATTAAATATAAAAAAGAAAACAATTAAGAATATTAAAGTAAATTCTTTATTAAGAAACAATAAAATGAAAATATAAAACTTTGTATGATTTGAGTGGATATTGAGAGTAATTTGTGAGTGTGCTTCAGCTGCATATGTAAGATTGTTCGGATTTAATTAAAAATTGTAAATTTTTTGTCTTTATATCAAACTATTCGACAAAACTTTGTATGATTTGAGTGGATATTGAGAGTAATTTGTGAGTGTGCTTCGGCTGCATCCGCTAATTCCTTCTTCATTCTTAACATTCTTTGTTTTATTTAGAACTATATTATCTTATTTCTAAAAATAATACTGAATTTTTTAAAAAATCCAAATGTAATAAATGTAAGTGTTTATTCCTTAACTTCCTTTTTGTGATTTTTTGAATTTTCTTGTTTTTGAAATTATTTGTTAATCTCTAAGATTTTTTTCGAAGCCTGGTTCAGCGCAGAGATCTTTTGTCCATTTGGGGCCTCTTTCCCAGGCCTCAAATGGAGTCAATTTCTCCCCAAAGAGTTTGAATAATGCGGAGTGTTTCCATACCCTATTATACTGGGAAACAACATTGGGGATGAACTCAAAGACGTTCACTCCAGGGTTTGTCTTGAAAAGAGTCTCCCAACTCCTTTCAATTTTTCCATTTTCCTCTGGAGAGTACGGATGAGTTTTGAAATGTTTTATATTGAATTCTTGGCAAACCGCTTCAAAATCTTTTCCAATGAATTCTGTTCCATTATCTGTGAGAATTCCATGTGGAACTAATTTGACTAAATCAATTGCGTGACGAAATACTCTGGCAGTATTTTTCATTTCTTTTGTATCGAAAACATCCCAGCAAATAATGTATCTGCTTCTGTCATCAAGAAATGAAATTAAATATTGAAGGTTACCGTTATCGTCCTTCAGAAATTTCAAATCAGTATGCCACAATTGATTAACATATTGAGCAACGTATTCATGTGGATGTTCGTCGATTTTCTGATGCCTGTGAAATGTAAACAAATGTTGTTGATTGAAAATTTTGAAAGCATCGTTGAATGTAAATCTTTCGACTTTTTCGAAATATGATTCTTTGATCCTTTTGTATCCAATGTCATATTGTGCTTTAATTTCCAAAATTTTGTATACATCTTCCTCAAAAATTTTTTTCTTTGGTCTTCCTCTTTCTTTTATTGGATAGCCGAGTAGTACGAAAATTTTTTTCAAACGTTCTTTTCCTATTGAAAGTGTTTTTGCCGTATCTTCGAGAGTTACATTTGGATTATTAATGTATTCTTGATATTTTTCTTCAATTACGTTGAGAACCTGATCGGCGGGAACGGTTGGGAGTTGAAAAGTTTTAAGATCTTCTGGGTTTTCGAGACGAACCAAGATGTCTTCCATTTTTTAATTTGTAAATTTTTCAATTTTTCAAAAGATAATTTAAAAATACTAGTTATTTGATAAAATTTGTTTATTTTAAATAAAACAATTTTTTTTGAAAAAATTATATTAATGATTTGAAGGCAAAAGCCAAAAACTTAATAGATAAAATGCTCTTTCTATATAGATCAACTTCTATTATTAAATTTATAAAAATGGAGAGATTTTGCAAATTATTTTCTAATATATTATATTTATAATCATTTTATTTATCCCATTAATAATTGTGAACCCAGAACATCTTCCCTTCAAAGTGCCAAGCATCAACACACATTCTCACTCACAAATTTTTAAAACTCATTGCCAAAAATTTAAAAAACTCACAATTTTTTTTAAATTGATAACCCTCAAACCGTTTCCAATCAATAATTTGAGAGTCTATATGATAATGTAAAAGTTAAAACATTCAAGTATTTAAGTATTTCTTTAAAATATTAAGTTTTTTATTTTTCCAATAAAATTCTAATATCAAATATTTTTATTTAACGATTAATTTTATTTATATTTTTATAGTTTTTTTAAGAAAAAATATTGTTAGGGTTTTATGGATTTTCAATTAATATACAAGATAATTCATGAATGTATATATTTCCAAGTTTTTAAGGATGCAACACTTTACATTTGTAAACTGTCAAAAATGAAGTCACGCTATTTTTCATGCATTACAGCTTTGGAGACAACAGATGGAAAAGTTTACTTCACTGACCAACAGTTCATTATAGAACATCTCATTGACTTAGAGTCGAAATATTCTAAACTTTACAACAAACACAAAAAGTTGAAAGGAAAACAAAAACAAATGGCATATGATATTTATGAAGATGTTGACGACACAACTGTTCCTGCAAGTGAAGTAAAGTCAGAGGAACCGAAAAGTGACGAAAAACCGATAGAAGAAGAGAAACCAAAAACTGAAGATAAACCAAAACCAAAGTTTAGTTTCCAAACTAAACCAAGTCAACCTTCATTAGCTGGTATGGGTTGGCGTCAAAGACTTATGGCAGCAGGCGGTTATGTAAAGTAAAGAAAAAATATTTTTTTATTTTTATAAAAATGCCCCATATAGAATGGATAGAAAGTCTGCTAGAATAAAAGCAGAGTTACAAAGATATGGTTGGAGAGTTTCGAAGAATTTTAAATATAGGAAGGGAAGACCCATAAAAGTCTATGACAAATTGTCTGGTCTTCGCTACGAAATGGATTTGGAAACAGCACGTGCCAATTATCCAAACAGACTAGAGAGGTTAGAAGAAGAACGTCTTATGGACATGCCTTTCGATGTTAGTGAACCTCAAGTTGAAGGACACGACGGCTTTGCCAGATTCTACTGGAAACATGACGAACAATTGCATCCTTTGAGAAGGAAAAAAGGAAAAGGTGAAGACGCACATGCTCCCATGGAAAGAACAAGATATGCATATGAAAAGTATCGTGAAGTTAGAAGTCAAATTACATCTGGTCGAACCTTTACAGTAAACTTTGACGAAGGAAAGAACAAAGAAGGCTTCATGGGAGTACTTGCTGCAATTCAAGACGGAAATAAGAAAGGACACAATCTCAGATTGACCATAACAGATTTGGATGGTCACATTTACTATGCACATGGCAATGAACAAACAGCCGCAAAACTTCTTGACGCTTTCAAGACTACAAAGAGAGAACAAATGGTTGACTCCGACTCAGACATTTTGAATGCAATTGAAGGAATTGCAAGTGTCAAGTTCGAATGGTACCAACCTAACCCTCAAGCAGTCAGACAACATGCTGGATACTTCCCCTTCATAAATAAGTCTGACATTGACTTGACAAGGTATGGAATTTACAATTCAATTGAAACAATTGTCAATGAACCTTGCATTCTTACATGTCTCAGGAACTCTGGTCTTGTTACAGATGAGAAGATGAAGTATCTTGAGTCATGTGTGAAGACAAGGTACATTCTCAGAGGTCAATTGGCAAAAATTGCACCGTTGGCAAATGTCAATATCCGAGTCAACATACCTACAGCTAAAGGTTCTTCACATGACGACTATGTTGTTGACAAAGACTTACCATGGTTGAAGATTGTAATTGTCCACAACCACTTCATGTTGAACGAAAGTCTTACAAACCCATTCTTTGGTAAAAGTAAGTGCAACATTGTCAGAGCTGTCAACATTCTTTTCAAGAAAGGTTTGTTGGAACCAATTCCAGATGACAAGCTGACAGAAACTTTTGTACCAAAAGACGAAACAAACTTTTCATTGTTAGCAAGACCAAAAGTTGTTCCAGACAAAGTTCTAGTACAAAAGAAGTACACGGTTCCACAAGGGGTTGGTATGTTCGATACCAACCTGAACCAGAAGAACTTCCAATGAGGTTGCAAGAACTTCAAGATGCTATAAACAAACTTCCATTGAGACATCCAATTGACGTCAAATTATATTGGAGAGCATCTGAGTTAGGTCAGAAGGTTTTATATGAAACAGGTTGCTTCGACGATGTTTATGAGATAACAGGAGAAGTTTCTCAGAAGATAAGAGACTCACTTGAATTTCCACAAACTGGACCAATTGGTTGCAACAAGTTCGACTCAGATGAAAAGATATACTATGTCGACCTTAACGCTGCATACATGAGGTTTGTCCAATATATTCCGACTGGAATTCCAAACGAAGATGGTGAGTTCCCGGGAAGGAACTATACAGTTGGAAAAGTCATACAACAACTGTATGATATTAGGAAAGCTTCAAACCCCAAACTTGCAATGACACTCAAATTGCTTATGAATTCGACATGGGGATATTCCATTAAGAAACCTCAAGAGATGAAGAGTAAACATTATGAGAAGGTCGACAACTTTGTTGAAAGGTTTTCTCCTTTTGTTTTGAAGTACGAATTCACTCAAGGTCAAAGTGGCTTAGTAACCACATTAAAACCTATTGTCGAACATTGGTCTTACCCTCAGTTCGCAAAGGCAGTCCTTGACAACTACAATGAGTTCTTCTCCGAAGTCAAATCCAAAGTCAAGGTTTACTATGAGAACATTGACGCACTCATGACGAACGAAGAAGGCTATAACAAACTCATTGAAATGGGAATGGTCGGTGAAAAGATGGGTCAATTCAAATTGGACAAAATTTTCACCGAAGTTCATGTCCTCTCCAAGCGTAAGTACTGGGGTGTTAAAGAAGATGGTGAAATAGTTAAACATTGCATGAAATAAAAAATTTTTATTCGAATTTGAATTTAAATGTGGGAATTCTTGGGAACGGGAAAGGCTTATTTACTTGAGGAACAGGTAAAGGTGGTGGAGGTGGTGGCAACCAGTCCATTTTATATTCCTTCCTAGCTAATTTCCGTTTAATTTCATGGTCGCCCTCGGAGTCTTTGAATCGGACAGGTCGAGTTACACCATTCTTGGTCTCAAACTCATATATAACCTGTTTGTCTGTATTTTCGTCGACTATGGCACGAGACACGAACATTGACCAAACGGACAAAAAGTGTCATTTCGGATGGTCAAGCAGCCAATCGCATTCGAGCACTTCGAAGAAGCCTTACGTTCCAAGGGAGAGGGTGTCTGGTGCAAGGCAGAGGTCATGAGACTCTACGAGCAGTACATCCTCAATGCCTGGGAGGACAAATCGTCCTTGAATTGGCAATTCTACCAACTCCTCTGGGACGACCTCCTACGCAACTGGGAAGATAACGAAAGAGCCCAATTCAAAGGTCGGGAGCTAATTTTCCAAATTACCATTAATAGTGCCTACTTATCCAACTAAACACTTAAATTTACTTGGGGTTTCCCCCTAAAATATTTTTTTACTCTTAGAACCACTCGAGGTTCTCCTTACGGTTGTTGAGCTTGTCACCGTCAATGTGTCTGACCTTCGTCTTCTTGCCTGGATTTGGAACCCATTGAATTGCGACAAGCTTGCCCATGGAGTGTTGTGCATGAAAAATAGCGTGACTTCACTTTTGACAAAAAGTGACACTATTTCTGATGGTTTTGTCATTTATTTGTCAGATTTATAAATGGATAATAATGCTGTAAATCAGATATTAATTAAAAATATTTAAGATTTATGTTCGAATTGAAAAGCAAAATGATATTTTTTTAATTGAAAAACGTTAATATCTGATATTTTGAAGTTTTTAATATTTGTTAGTATCTTAAATTATTGAATGCATACATTTTTTATGTTCTCAATTTTAAAAAATTGTGAAGAATTTAGTTTTTTGGAGATGGATGTTTAATATTTGTGAGTGAGAATGCAAGCAGGAGTTTGGTACTTTAAGGCTAGGTTGAGATAGATTTCCCATTATATTATCTGTGAATATTTTGCTTGAAAATTCAAGATATAAAAATATATTATCAAAAAATTTTATATTTTTAAATACAATAGGGTGGAAATATAGTACGATGAGATAGCAATGATATATTTTATAATGGGAGGTAATCTGAAGATAAGTAGCAAATTTTATGCGATTTTGATTGGGAGTTGGAGGGTGTGAGTACTATAGCATGTAATAGTATCTCACACCCTCCAATTCTTCCTATGGCGCCGAAAAATTTTTGGTGAAATGCGACGACATTTCACCAAAAAATTTTCGGCGCCATATAGAGAACTATAGTCTGCGAGGTACTGATTCTATCTATGTACCTCGCAGACCATAGTTCTCAGCCAAAATGTCAAAAATTTCGGAAATTCGAAATAATTTTTTTTGAGAAAAAATTAACCGTTTAACATAATATTTATAATATTGCTTATTCAATTAGACGGATTAAAAATTATATGTTTTCTTTTTATTTTTTCAATTCAATTATTAGCTGACTCGAATTTGTATAAGTTTTTTAAAATAGATATCAAAAATTAAATATAAAAAAGAAAACAATTAAGAATATTAAAGTAAATTCTTTATTAAGAAACAATAAAATGAAAATATAAAACTTTGTATGATTTGAGTGGATATTGAGAGTAATTTGTGAGTGTGCTTCAGCTGCATATGTAAGATTGTTCGGATTTAATTAAAAATTGTAAATTTTTTGTCTTTATATCAAACTATTCGACAAAACTTTGTATGATTTGAGTGGATATTGAGAGTAATTTGTGAGTGTGCTTCGGCTGCATCCGCTAATTCCTTCTTCATTCTTAACATTCTTTGTTTTATTTAGAACTATATTATCTTATTTCTAAAAATAATACTGAATTTTTTAAAAAATCCAAATGTAATAAATGTAAGTGTTTATTCCTTAACTTCCTTTTTGTGATTTTTTGAATTTTCTTGTTTTTGAAATTATTTGTTAATCTCTAAGATTTTTTTCGAAGCCTGGTTCAGCGCAGAGATCTTTTGTCCATTTGGGGCCTCTTTCCCAGGCCTCAAATGGAGTCAATTTCTCCCCAAAGAGTTTGAATAATGCGGAGTGTTTCCATACCCTATTATACTGGGAAACAACATTGGGGATGAACTCAAAGACGTTCACTCCAGGGTTTGTCTTGAAAAGAGTCTCCCAACTCCTTTCAATTTTTCCATTTTCCTCTGGAGAGTACGGATGAGTTTTGAAATGTTTTATATTGAATTCTTGGCAAACCGCTTCAAAATCTTTTCCAATGAATTCTGTTCCATTATCTGTGAGAATTCCATGTGGAACTAATTTGACTAAATCAATTGCGTGACGAAATACTCTGGCAGTATTTTTCATTTCTTTTGTATCGAAAACATCCCAGCAAATAATGTATCTGCTTCTGTCATCAAGAAATGAAATTAAATATTGAAGGTTACCGTTATCGTCCTTCAGAAATTTCAAATCAGTATGCCACAATTGATTAACATATTGAGCAACGTATTCATGTGGATGTTCGTCGATTTTCTGATGCCTGTGAAATGTAAACAAATGTTGTTGATTGAAAATTTTGAAAGCATCGTTGAATGTAAATCTTTCGACTTTTTCGAAATATGATTCTTTGATCCTTTTGTATCCAATGTCATATTGTGCTTTAATTTCCAAAATTTTGTATACATCTTCCTCAAAAATTTTTTTCTTTGGTCTTCCTCTTTCTTTTATTGGATAGCCGAGTAGTACGAAAATTTTTTTCAAACGTTCTTTTCCTATTGAAAGTGTTTTTGCCGTATCTTCGAGAGTTACATTTGGATTATTAATGTATTCTTGATATTTTTCTTCAATTACGTTGAGAACCTGATCGGCGGGAACGGTTGGGAGTTGAAAAGTTTTAAGATCTTCTGGGTTTTCGAGACGAACCAAGATGTCTTCCATTTTTTAATTTGTAAATTTTTCAATTTTTCAAAAGATAATTTAAAAATACTAGTTATTTGATAAAATTTGTTTATTTTAAATAAAACAATTTTTTTTGAAAAAATTATATTAATGATTTGAAGGCAAAAGCCAAAAACTTAATAGATAAAATGCTCTTTCTATATAGATCAACTTCTATTATTAAATTTATAAAAATGGAGAGATTTTGCAAATTATTTTCTAATATATTATATTTATAATCATTTTATTTATCCCATTAATAATTGTGAACCCAGAACATCTTCCCTTCAAAGTGCCAAGCATCAACACACATTCTCACTCACAAATTTTTAAAACTCATTGCCAAAAATTTAAAAAACTCACAATTTTTTTTAAATTGATAACCCTCAAACCGTTTCCAATCAATAATTTGAGAGTCTATATGATAATGTAAAAGTTAAAACATTCAAGTATTTAAGTATTTCTTTAAAATATTAAGTTTTTTATTTTTCCAATAAAATTCTAATATCAAATATTTTTATTTAACGATTAATTTTATTTATATTTTTATAGTTTTTTTAAGAAAAAATATTGTTAGGGTTTTATGGATTTTCAATTAATATACAAGATAATTCATGAATGTATATATTTCCAAGTTTTTAAGGATGCAACACTTTACATTTGTAAACTGTCAAAAATGAAGTCACGCTATTTTTCATGCATTACAGCTTTGGAGACAACAGATGGAAAAGTTTACTTCACTGACCAACAGTTCATTATAGAACATCTCATTGACTTAGAGTCGAAATATTCTAAACTTTACAACAAACACAAAAAGTTGAAAGGAAAACAAAAACAAATGGCATATGATATTTATGAAGATGTTGACGACACAACTGTTCCTGCAAGTGAAGTAAAGTCAGAGGAACCGAAAA